TAGGCTCCAGCGCCCCCCGCGACCCTGAAAAGGATAAGCGGAAGCGAATGGATGATCTCAAAATGTATTAAAGGACTTTAAGGTAAACAGTCTTTTTCACTTGCCACAGCAGTGTTCCACACCTGAAATGCATTCACAATTAGTAAATGAAACAAGTCTCACAACTACAATCCTCAGTATGCTGATAAAAATGACAGTATCATAAGGAATACCTCAATATTAGCAAGTAAAATCACAAGGGCTTTGTTTCCATTTACAGTGTAAAAAGAGTGATGAAAAAGCCAAGACAGAAGAAACTGGAAGAATAAAATGAGAACATGAAATAACTGTATCGAGTAGTTGTATCCAGAATTAATATATTTCCAGTGTCAGAGTTTCACTGCAGCTCTAATTATAGCAGACCACAGTGGAATGACAATGCTGATCTGAGGGCAGTACATCAGACAGAACCACTTCAACACTAAACTGACAGAGCAGCGTGTCTGTCCCCTTTGTTAACACTAATATGCTTTATGATATATACACGCACAGTATATCAGGCTTAAGTACAAGCACTATTCCTGCTTCCTGCTCGTTGTAATGGAAGATTGGAGCCAGCAGTGTGCTTCTTTGCAGCTGTACTAACCATTCAAATATTCCTGGTTAGCAGTCATTCACCTTCATTTCTAGTCAATTTAATTCAAGTGCCCATTCACAGCAGTTGCCTCCAGGCTCTTTGCATTGTAAGATTAAGATTTTAGTGTATTGGAGACAAAACCCCAGAAATCCGGTTCAGGCTAACCTGATCCAGCCCTAAGGAAAGCTTTATCAAAAGGAAAGTTGTAAGCCTAATCTTAAAAGTCGAGCGCGTGTTGGTCTCCTGAATCCAAACAGGGAGCTGGTTCCATAGAAGAGGGGCTTGATAGCTGAAGGCTCTCCCATCCATTTTATTTTCAGAAACTCTATTAGGATAATAAGGTGGTATGAGGTATTTAAGATATGATGGAGCCTGATTATCCAAGACTTTGTATGTGAGGAGAAGGATTTTAAATTCAATTGTGGCTGTAAAAGGGAGTCAATGAGGAGACGCTAATATGCAAGAAATATGTTCTCTCATTCCAGTTCCACTTAGTACTCCCACTGCAGTATTATGGATCAACTGAAGGCTTTTTGTGTAGATGTTAGAGTGATCTCATAATAATGGATTGCAATAGTCAAGCCTAGAAGTAATAAATGCATGAACTGACACTTCAGCATCACTCTGAAAAATTATGCTTTTAGAGATATTACACAGATGAAAGAAAGCCGACCTACATATTTGTTTAATATGCACATTGAGGGACATACCCTGGTCAAAAATAACTCCAAGAGTCCTCGTGGTGTTACTGGCTGCCAAGGTAATTAAAGCTAAAAAATATGTTGGTCCTGGCACAGAACCCTGTAGAATTCCACAACTAACTTTGCAAGCGAAGAAATTGGAGTCTATCAGATAGATATGATCCAAACCACTGTACCACATTTCCTTTAATATCCACTGTGTTTTAATCTCTGTGGCGAGAGTGCAGTCAGCGATATTAAATGCTGCACTGAGGTCTAACAGGACAAGCACAGAGATGAGTCTACTGTCAGAGGCTGAAGATCATTCGTACTTACTGGTTGTAACACTTCACTGCCACTGCTTCGGTGCTATGCTGAAAAATACATCTTGACTGAAATTCTTCAAATAAAAATGAGACTAATAATGTAAACAAAACAGCAATGAGAAACTTTTTAGCAAGTTTGACATAAGCAAGCATTTCTGTATTTAATACTCAGTTCACGAAATCCCTGCTTTTTGCAGCGCACAAATTCTGACAGGATAATGTCTGCAAACTGTTAACAGAACGCAGCTGACCTGTAACTACAGTATCTGCTCATATCTTACTTACGTATTTTTGTTTGTTTTGCTGGATTACAACATAATTATAATACCATACAGGAGACAAGAAGGAACAAATCTTCTTATCAAAATAACTGTGCAGTCAAACATGGCATACAGATGGAAAATATGCTTCTATAAATATGGCAGTTTATCTAATCAGGTGACGGTGACATGATAGCTCATAACAAACTGAACATAAATACGGGTGTTTTCAAATTATACCATGCTAACTTGAAATCAAATAAGTCGGAAAAGATGAAGCGCAATCTTTGGTTTTGTTATAAAAAACAAACACTTTTGAACTTCGTTTTAAGAAATCACAGAACTTTTCCCACCTTTTGTAGTGAATGTGTTATGTGATCTATGGGAAAAGCATTGAGGATAGAACTACAAAGAAACTTTGAAATGGGAATTCACAGAAAAGAAAATACTTTTAGAAATTCCCGTTGTGTAGCTCTTCTTTCATGTTCACCACAGTACCCTTATCAAGTCTTCCTTCAAGCTCACACAGAAGTATCTCAAGGAATCAAGGGAAATTCTATTTGCCACCCAAAACTGCCAGGTGTGGCTGTATGCTGCTGGGAAAGCACTACATACAGTTGGGTGCATAAATATTTGGACAGAGCCCATTGGTTCTGTACATCACCACAATGAATTTTAAATGAAACAGCTCAGATGCAGTTGAAATACAGACTTTCAACTTTAATTTTGTTCACTGAACAAAAAGGTTGCATAAAAATGTGAGGAACTAAAGCATTTTTCTTTGTGTTAAAGTGTAATGGAAAAGTAGGAATAAAAATCCCTGTCTATAGATGACATACATACAGAGGATTTTTTTGTTCATTTTTATGCCTCAGTGGTAATTGAGATTTAACCATGACCAAGCTAACGTCAAAGAAAAATGTATTTTGGATGAAACATTTAATCCAAGAAGTGCTCTGTCCAAGTCCAGGTGGAGGTCAAAGCACCCGGGATGGGTGTTCCTGCCCCCATCCAGCAATAACATTATCTCAAACCACTGAAACACCCTACTGGACTGATTGTAGCGCACATAATGTCCTCTTCCTGACATTGTACAAAGGTACATTACCACAATGAATTTTAAATGAAGTTGAAGTGCAGACTTTCAGCTTTAATTTTGTTTGCTAACAAAAAGATTGCATAAAAATGTGAGGAACTAAAGCATTTTAAACACACATACAATCCATTCATTTCAGGGGCTCAAAAAAGTGAAAAAAATGTTCATTTCTATTACTTGGTTGGAAACCCTTTGCTTTCAATGACAGCCTGAAGTCTTGAACGTCACCAGAAGCTGGGTTTGTTCCTTTTGAATGCTGTGCCAGGCCTTTACTGCAGTGCTACCTGGTAGTACTGCAGACATTATGTCTCCCAACACCTCAGGATTTATTCAGCTGCTTCTGTTCTGTGCCACATTATCAATAAATACTAGTGTTCCAGTGCCACTGGCAGGCATGCATACGCAATCCATCACACTGCCTCCGCCGTGTTTTCCATATGATGTGGTATGATCTGGATCATGAGCTGTTCCACGCCTCCAGGTCTTTTTGCGTTGCCGAGTTCACCGGTGCTTTCTCGCTTTCTTTCTCAGGATGTACCAAACTGTAGATTTTGCCACTCTTAATATCGCAGCAATTTATTTTATGTTTTTCTGTTTTGGCAGCTTAAGGGTGGCCTGTTTCACCTGGATTGAGAGCTCCTTTGACCGTAAATCTTCCAAATGAAAGCACCACACCTCACATCAACTCCAGGCCTTTTATCTGCTTAATTGATAATGGCATAACAAAGGAATTGCCCATACCTACCCATGAAATACCCCCTTGAATCATTTGTCCAATTACTTTCAGTCTCTTTCAAAAAAAAGGACTGCACATGTTAAGGACCTGAAACTCCCAAATCCTTTATCCAATTTGAATGTGGATACCCACAAAAGGTGATTCTACACATTACTTTTTTATATAACTGTAATCAAAATATGTTTCAGTAAACAGGTAAAAAAAAAAAAGCTTGTGTCAGTGTCCAAATATATATGGTTGAGGAGGAACAATATATGGACTGTAGTGCAATCGCTTGATATTCAAAAGCTATCAAAACAGATGAACATCCATTTATTCGGTCACAATAATCTCGGTTAAGATCACAAACTGAAAAAATAGTCAAAATCAAGTTAATTTATATGGCACGAAGTCAAAACTACAGTCAATTCAAGGAGCTAAAGTGACTTCATCAAAGTTTATTAAAAAAGAAACATGTCTTTTTATTTGATTTGATTTTATATATTTAATTTTAATCACAATTCAACTGATCATTCAATCATTACACTGAATGAAAATGAAGTGAATTGAGATACACTGTCTTTCAAGGAAAAGTGGAGGAAAACAGAATGCAGCAGCATGGCAAAGGACACCTATGAAAGCAGCTTTGGTGAAACTGTAGTAGTTTATGTCCAGTCCCAGGATTGGACCAGTTTTATATAAATTAAAAACAAACAATATTTGCACTGAAGTCTTTCAGATTTGGTTGTTATTAGCTTTGATTTGTTCTCGTATATGTGGACTTAATTCAGCTCAGGGAAAAGTCCTGTACTGTCACATTATGCTGTCTATTCAGCTCGTGGCAGGCCTTTGAACAGCACCTGGGATGAGGCTACACTCAGAGCTATAAAGAAAACACCTGGTATGCCTCTGTCCTGAATAACATCACACACGTAGATGTTGTCATTGGACTGCATCAGGCCAGCTGGTACAATAGTACTGTTGTCACCATATAAAAGGCAGCTTATCTTCTTTCACTTTATTCAATCACAGCAACAAATCTCAGCTGAACCTTAGCTGAACAATCACACCAACAAAGTGGATTAGAGCTGGTCCAGAAACAGTGTGATGGCATTTGAATTAAAGCGCATTTCATCTACTCTTTAGTGTTATACAAACATCTTTACACTCCAGAAGAACAAGTGCAAACATCTGCGTGGAAACAGAGAATTTATTGCTTCTTTATTTACACTGTTGCTCATTACATCGACATGTATAGTTTTACAGTACATGGATGTGAGTCACGTGTTTGTCCATGAGGACATCACCTGGTAGCTTGCTTTTCTCTGACAGGACGTGTTCTCACTTGTCGGCTATCCCCTGAGTTTTGGTTACGCCCTTGCAGATCTATCTGGAAGGGTTTCCTCGCTTTGAGCCCTCTGGAAGTAAACACACAAATATGCAGTTTGTGAAAAAATAGAGAGAGAGGGGACATCCAAACACAGCACTGGGAGCTTAATCATATGATGAAAAAAAGAGATGTCAGCCCTTGGGCCTCTCACTCTGGAATATTCAAAAATGGCAAATGCTGCTGCTTGACTACAGAAAATCACACTAAATAGAACATGCTTCTACCTAGCAACAGTCTTAGTCATGATTCAAACTTCAAATCAAAAGGTATTTTGTGGAAGAAAATGTAAATGTTTTAATGTGATTCATTTTTTGCAGAAAAACTGCATGTTTTGATAGTCAAGGGTGAGGTTAAGCACAGATAGTGATAGAGAACTCAAAAAGTCCTTAATCTCCTTTTCTGATCCTTGACTTGGTGTATACGTGCACCAAGTGGCGACAAAATTGAGAGCTAAAGAATGTCAGTGTGATGGTGGAAAAAACTGTAGATGCTGTATTGTCCACTTGAGGCTGTCTCAATTGTCAATCCAGGTCATCGGCGGCCAAATTAGAGTTAGACTGATTAACATCCAGCTTCGTGGGTAAATCAAAGAAAGGTGGATGCCAAAATTTGTGTGACTTCATTTGAAATCTTTCTTTTAGTTACTGAAAATTGTTTATTTTATCTTTAAATGCCCAACTTGCATAGAGATATTAGATATCAGTCTCTGTACCTGTACTGAGTTTTAAAGCAGATTAGTATTTATGGTCACGAAGAAACATTTAATTTTAAATGATCTTAAAGCTTAAAAGTAGCCAGGAGGACTTTAAATCAGAGACTCTTTCATCACTGAAACTGCAGAAGTATTTCTTTGTGTTAAAGTGTAATGGAAAAGTAGGAATAACAACCACTGTCCATAGATGACATTTTCCTAAGAGAAAAGCATCTGTGTTGGATCAAGTTTTTACATACAGAGGATTTTTTCTGTTTATTTTTATGCCTCAGTGGTAATTGAGATTTAACGCCAAGCTAACGTCAAAGAAAAATTTATTTTGGATGAACCATTTAATCCAAGAAGTGCTCTGTCCAAGTCCAGGTGGAGGTCAAAGTACCCAGGATGGCTTTAAAGTTCCTGCCCAAATCCAGCAATAACATTATCTCAAACCACTGAAACACTCCACTAGACTGGCTGCAGGGCACATAATGTCCTCTTCCTGACATTGTACAAAGGTATATCCCCAGGTCTGCTGTGCAAACATTGCTTTTGTGTAACATTTCCCTCAACCTTTGCTTTTAGGAGGAAATGTTATCCTGTTAGAAGCAATCTGCAAAAACAATAACATTGGGACAATTATATTGTTTTTAAGATTGTGTGTTTAAGATTCAACTTTATTAATAGGAAGAAATCCCAGTTTCCCAAGAAAAGAGATATGGATTCAAAATAATAATATTTTAAATGTTTGGAAACATTCCCTCAGACCTTTGAGACAGCAAATAAATGATTGCTGGGATACTTCCTGTATAAAAGTCTAATGGGCTAACAGTTCAAAATGAGAACATAAAGACACCAAAGGCTATGCTGTAGAATCTAAGAAGTACTGTTTCTATGAAATGTGTACATGCTCGTTAAAATAGCCACAGTGGAAAGCAAATGGAAGAACCAGCTGTCAGAGAGAGCAGGGAGGTGCGGTTAGGTTTATAAAGAGAGCCCAGTGGGTACATATTGAGGAAGACAAAAACCACAGAAACTATTGTGAGCTGCACCACATTTATTCTCAACAGCAACCTCAATCCATCGTGTAACATGGAAGTGTCACATATTGCATTTCCTCTGATGTCCACTTTAGATTGTGGCAGTGAGTCACTCCCCTTAGGCTACCTTTTTAGACTGCCACAAAAAAGTACCAAACAAGTTTTTTTAATTTTCAACACATGCAACTCAATTATTTGGATACTCGTAAAGCTCAGAGACTCCAGTACTAATGGCGGTGGCCTCTTTGACTGACAGGTGGATTTTGACAAAGGCAGCTGTAGCTGCTAACTGTTTCCTAGGCTTCACCTCAACACAGCTTTGCCTTGATGTAATTATCTGACCATTAATATGGCTGCTGTGGTGCATTGTACTAACATTACACATACACAAGATGTTTGGCAGTTTTGGCAGTTTCGAGTGATTCACTTGTTGTATTAGTATTCAGTTGCTTAGCATTACTTAGCTGTTATCGGCCTCTGTCCATGCATGCTGTTTGATAACCAAGATATCCAGTAAGTTAGCACTCTACCCTATCATTCAATTCAATTCAATATATATATTTTATTTATTGCAAATATAAACAGCAGTCTCCTCAAGCTAGCGTAGCTTAACTGTAGATATTTTTTACTTCCCTTAATGAGAATGATCAGAGGGGATTTTCACGTTAATCTGTCATTTAGGTGTTAATACATTTCAGCCATTATGGAGGTGACTGAAAGTAGAGATGCATGTTTTTCATTTTGCATGACATCAAAGTTTTAGTTCTGCTGTGGAAGCTTTGCAAACACTGTTTAAACAGCAGGTAGGTATATACTGGGCATCATATCCAAGAGTAAAAAAAGTTTGAATCACTAATACTCAAAAGCTCAGTTCGTGTTGAATTGTCAAAGCTGCTGTTTTGCTCTTGTAACTACAAGGTGTCAGATGATCAATGATCAGGTTTGATACTAAAGCTTAAACCCAAGTCACAATCTTTTCTTAATCGTAACCAAGTTATTTTTAGTGCTTAAACCTAACTAGTCAATAAAAGCAAAGACAAAAAAACATGTTATATACTACTTTTGTAGTATATTTGATTTTTAAATTTAGATGCTTTCAATGGAAACATCCCCACTGTAAGGTAAGGTAATGTAAGGTTTGCATTATATTATGTAGTATTTATAGTAATTTATAGTAATGTTCCCTGCTTTAAGTTTTAATATGACTCAGGAGGCTGTGACAACATTCAAGCCTGGTCTGAAGGTCACCGTATGCTGCCATGTGGGCACAGGTAGCACTCTCAAAAATGTATGAAGTAAAGCATGGTGCATTCCCAAACTAAATCTCTTTCTTCTTTTTTTCCTTTTTCCTTTTTTTAACAGCCAAACTCATAAACAAAGTCAGCTCACAGGCATAAATGCCACTGCTGCTGTTCTTCTCACTCAAAGCTCACATTTATGAGCATGCAGTTAATTTCCTCAGAGCAGATTTTCCCTCCGCTTTGAAGTGGAAACAATATAATTTTTTGTGCATTCCTAATAACATCACATCTAGTTTGGTGACTTTACATAAAAGGTGTTTGTGTACACAGCACCGTGCGGCAGGAGGCCCTTTTTATGGCAGAATAAAACAGGCTCGGCCTTCATGGTTTTTTTTACAGCTGAAGGCTGATCCCGAAACCCCGTGTTTCAAAGCTTCTTGAGCCCTCCACAACCCCCCCACCTCAACTACTTCTCCTCTACAGGGCTGATTACAACAGGGCCCCATTTGTGCTATCTTCTTTTAAACACCACTAAAATCTTTTACATTTCCTCAGCAGGTTCTTGAAATTCAGCTGAGTACAGTGCATTCCCCCAGAGTCTCCTTCTGTCAGGTTTTCAGATGGTGACCTCTCTGCTTTCACTTTTTTAGCCTTGCTTTAACGCTAGCTAACCTTGAGGAGATAACCAAAGAGAAAATAAGCTTTGGTTACCTTGTTTGTTTTACTGGGTTCCCTTTTGGCTCTTTTTGACATATAATAAGGGTGCCTTTATGTAGAAACTGTTACGAGCACACGTCCCAGTTGCCTGAAAGTATGTTGGACTACCTCCATCCTATTTCCAACCTCTTATTACCTCCATGTGCCTTCTTCAACATCCCTACATTGCTTCTCTTCTTGCCACTCATAGCTCCATACCACCCTCTCATTCCTTTTCTCAGTCCGTTCCTTCCCTCTCTACTTATTTCCTCTTCTTTTCTACCCTTCACTCATTCCCTACATTCTTCCCTTCTGCCTCTCCCTCTTTCACTCTCTTTTTGCAGTTCAGTCAATCTTCAGTCCCCTCCACCCCACAGTACACCACCCTCTTCTGACATACTCCCTCCCCTGCCCTCTGTCCCATTTTCTATATTTTCTCCTCCAGTTCTGGCCTCCGCACCCACATGACCAACATCATGAGAAAACCCTCATGACAGTACGCTCTGCCAACTCTGCCATCCTGTTACACCCCAGGAGCAAAGAACAGTTTTTGCACAAAGCTTCTCTGGTGAGTATTGTCTAACCTCAGTTCACTCTGAAAGAAAATACAGCTTGCTTCCAGCACGATCTTTTCAAAGATCATTTTATGGGGATCCAGATCTTCAGCTGCACGTTTTTCCCATGGAGCTAGAATTCAGTTTCTCAACTACAGGTCAATGAACTGTCCAAAAATTCGCTATTTACTACGACAAATAAAGAGTTTACTGAGCCAGTCTACTGTGTATCAGTTGTGAACAAGGCGTCCATTGCAGCAATGTGCGATGATGTCACTCCCAACTTGTCATTTTTCAGTATGAACAGCCAGCTTTGTGGAAGGGCATATTTTAAGCCAAACTCCAGTCCTTTCCTAACCCTAACCAACTAGGTCCTTAGTCTTAGTATGAGAACATCACAAAAATCAAAGGCAAGGGAAACCTGGCTAATAAACTTAGCTCATGCTGTCACAATCATTCAACTTCCTACCACAGACTTTGTAGGTCTGTAACACGGACCGTTATCCCTCAGTGGCTAATATGGACACAGCTGGTACTAAGGCACAGACACCAGAATATACCTTGTACACAATGGTGAGATGCCCTGTGTTGAAAAAATGTTGTTTGACTTGATTTGCAGGATATAGATCAGACAGGCAGCAGTGCAGTAGTTAGCAACAAGGTTCCAGGTTCAAACCCTGGGTTCAGATCCAGCCTGGGGCCATTCTGTGCAGAGTTTGCATGATCTGAGATCTGTGTGAGTTCTCTCTTGGTACTGTCATGTCAAGACATGTATGGAGTTATGTTAGCTGGTGAATTTTAAATTG